TTCACCCCTCTTGGCTTTAAATCATCAAATTTGGATTGGTTTTGGACCAAAGGTCCTGCACTCTCTAATACAAGCTTTTTTATTCACAAGTCTATTTGTGTTAAAAATATAATTCAATTCGAATTGTAACTATAAAATTTTCTTTTACTCTCTTTCATTCAATAATGAGGATAAGTGCTGTGAGAGTTACATGTTCCAGTCCCAATAAAGCTAGTCGAAGCAAAACCGATGAGCAACGGCGTCTTCTCCCTCTCGTGGGCAGGCACTGATATGCTTCCCCCAGTGTCACCTTTTATCAACATCTATCACAGATGCAACTTTCATCAGGTCAGCGATTACCCATTTTATTTAGCTCAAATGAATGTAACAGTTTTCAGCCTCATAAGCTCTGCGCCAGAGTAATTGGCATAGAAATTCCGACACGTTATGTCATAAGCAATAGTAGTAATGTGAATGCGACATACGACATTGGTATAATGAATCTCAATTTGAGATATACGCTTGAGGTGGTCGATTGCTTTTATGGACATTATTGAAAAATATTCGTTCTATTTGCCTGTTGATATGGTAATAAACCTGCTTTATGTAATGGAGACTATTGCATGAAAAATATTTCATTCAATTATTTAAAACCGAACTCGACAAAATCATGATAGTATATCTGCATGAACAGTTTGAGTAGGTCGCCATCTGATAAGAGCTTCTCTTGTGCCTTCATCCGTAAGTCGAAATATTCCAAAGAATAGCGAGACATGACTTCTAAATTAGTTCACTTATAGTTCTGATGATGTAAGGTTAAAGGGTAACGGCGGTGGCTAAAGCAATTTTGTGACAGCGCTGCTATGGTCAAGCATGCAAGTGAGATGCATGGAAAATCTACCATCAAAATTGTCTACTTCAGTGGTTTGAAATTTAGCTTTTATAGGATTTCAGAATTTCGCTATCTAGTGAAATTTTTCGTGAGATGTCACTCATGCAACCGTGTTGTAATTGATTTCATGGGAGAAAATCTTTTCTAAATTCCATAGAAGCGATTTGGTATACCAATAGATTCTTTTTTTGAGAGAAAAAGAACAATAAAATTGGTAGCAACAAAAAATCTTGAGCAAAGAACTAAGATGTTGG